CAGCCAACATGACTGCCATTTTGAGACTGGAAGAAAATGTCAGCTCAAACGATAAAGAAAGCAAGATGAGGAAAAGAAATTTGGCACAATCTTTCTGCAAAGAAACCCCAAGCTGTTTCTCAGAAGTCTTCATTAGAAAGATAGCAAGATGCCTCAGAGAGGGCCTAGTTTTCACAAGACTAGAAAGAGAATAGGGAGGCAGTAAGCAATACTCTCATCAGGAACAGATGACAGCCAATTTCGTCTGTTGCGGCCTTCCTATAAACTGGTGAAAAAGGGACAAAGCTGTTCTCAAAACTCTTGAATGGTTTCACAGAATCATGTTCAGCACTCTCATCTAAACATCAAAGGCAGCTTTTTCACTTTGAAAACAAGAGAGCCTTTCGTAAGTCTAGCTCGACCTTGGCTCAAGACACAGAGCTGGGTACAAGCCGTAGAGGCGTGTCTGAGGAAGAGAGACTGGCCACCCCAGCTCTCACCCCAGTTACCACTTGCCTACGAGGCAAGACCTCCTTCGGGAATTAAGGAATTGCATCAACTTGTCCTGCTGTCTGTATTCTCTCCAAAAAGAAATCAGAATCTACATTTTTTTTTTTTTTTGGAAATATAGGAACACCAGCTTCGTACTGTCCCTCCCAGCAGTAGCTGGGAATTGACAAAGATTTTCTCCCTGGCCCCTTCTCTGCCCCTTTTAATCCTCTCCCTACTCCGTCCCCAGAGGCATCTCATAAGGCCAGGAAATACTTATGATGAAAATACTGTCCATTCAGCTTGTAATGCTGTCTGTTTACATTACCTCACTTTGTGAAAGCATAAAGAGGAGCTTACAGAGTCAGGTGCAGTTTATTTATACTGGCCTCAAGCCGCCTGCATGTTTCTAACATTCAAAGAAAGGAGCCAAGGCACTGCCTGTTTGAACTCAGCTGTCCCCAAAGGATCAACAGAGCAAAAAGGCCAACTTTTCCATCCTCTAAAACCTCCTACCCGAAGACAGACATGATCAATCTGCCTTAACATGTGGCTGTCCTCTCTGTTATTTCATCAGGTTATATCAGATTACATTTTGACTGCTGTACTCTGAAGAAGTTTTAAGAGTCAGAGAGGGTGAAAACCATGCACTGTTGAAGCCTCTTATTTGGGACTGTTATGCCTATGAGCTGACATCTCTCCCGTGACCCCGCTATCCTCTGCTTGGCTGGTGACCTGCCACCAGCAACGGCACATCAACGCGCAAAGATCTGCATCTGCAGCTGAGAAGGACAGCTCGATGGCTGGAGCACAGCTGCTCATAACTACAGCTAAGGATAATCGCTTCATACCTTTCCACTGTATCAAGGGGAAACAACAACAACAACAACAAGAAAAAACAAACAAAAAACTTTCTTTCACCTGCCAACACAATTTTGAGGGAGGTCATAACAGCAATGGGTTACCTAAGGCAGAGCAGAACCTCTGGATTTCAAAAGAGTCAGTGCAAGGTTTCTGGTCTCAAAGTCTTTCCTCTTTTAGAGGATAGCCTTTGAGAAAGCATGAAAGAAAAGAGACATTTAAGCTAAAAGACTACAATGGCAGAAGAATAACAGGATATAAACCAACAATGAGTACTGTTTGGAAAGTAAAAATCTTCAGATTTCCCAGACAAGCATGGCTTAAGAAAGCCTTTCAACAGCATTACCTCAGAAGGGAAGGGAGGGAAAATCATATAAGTCGATGCTGAACAAGTTAATGAAGGAAATTATCTGGTGCCACTGCCTCCAGCAACGCTAGCCTGCACTTAGTGACCCATGAGGTCCCTCTTTCAGCCTTTTACCATGAGGCGCGCACACGTTTATGGACCGTTCTTCTCTGCAATCTGCCTTGCTCTATTTTGTTACAGGCTCAAAGGGGATTTCAATAGTCGTCTAGGTCTTTCTTGGGAGGTTCCACTGTGCTCTGGCTTGGGGAGGAGAGCACATCTACGGGAATAAATATTCCCTGAGAAATATCTCCAGGTCTTCAAAATCTGGGCCTTTCTTGTCTCCGCAGCGTGTAAGGCCACGATGGCTCTCTAGACAGGAACAGACCAAGATGTCCGCAGAGATTCATGAAGCTTTCTCTGACTTCCCTGGTGACAACTGCTTGACAAGTGACAGTGCAGGAGACCGAGAGGGTGGCTGGATCCAAGAAACATTTCCCTCATCTATCGGCATCTGCTGCCCCCTTGCAGGGCCAACGCACTCGGCAGAGGTGCAGAGCTGCCTGAGGCCGGCAGGCACCACCTGGGCTGCTGGCGCAGACAGCCCTGCGCTGCCCCCAGCTCCACTCCCTGGGCCGGACAGGGCGGGCAGGCAGCACGTGCTGCCTGCCCGGCAGTCTGCTGATTTCCAAACCTCCTCGTTCCCTTCTTGTTAGGTCAGGCATCATGGCAAATACATGCAGAAAGGACCTTTTAGGAGAACATCTGCTCAGAGCCAGGAAAGCTTCCAGCCAAGATACTTCAAGTACAGGAGGCAAAGTGGAAACTGCAGAGATAACCTCTTTGAAAAATCAAATATATTCTTGGGACACAGCTAGGATTTGCACATTGTGTCTGCCTATGAAGCTTTTTTAAAAAAAAAAAACAAAAAACAAAAAACCCAACCCAACCAACAATAACAAAAACAAACAAAAATATATATACACAGAACTTTAATATCTTCCTGAGAAAGTGTTTTGTAAAAGTGAGGCCTGGCTGCTTATGGGTGCAGAAGGTTCAGGAAATAAAGCATTCCCCTAATGTCACAGGGCCAACAGATCAACAGATCTGGCTACGTGCTCTGGCTAAATCATCTGCCTTGGATGGATCTGTGGATCTTACCAGAAAGAGAACAGAACTGTCATTCTGAATACAAAATTAAACACAAAGCCTGCATATGAATGAATGAATATTCTGATTTACAGAATTACATGATACTAAATTTGATTCAAACTACAGAAAGTGTAAGGTTTCATTATTAACCTCACAATATATGTAGGTATACATACACATATATATATATATAAAAGCCTTTTATTTTCAAAATAAAGCATAAAAGATAAGAAGCCTGACCTCCCTACAACTCAGAGAGCTTTCAGTTCAAAAAAATAATTTAAAAATACCTTCCCATTTTCAAGTCAACTATATACGAATAATGACTTTTTATTTTTTAAAGGAAGTGGCTGTATTCATGAAAACGATACAACTGAGAGCGCACAGGTGTATCAGGAAATAAGTAAGTGAGACAACGAAGCTGCAGTCGTACAGCGAACACTAGCTTACGTCAATAAACCTTTCCAGCAGGTCACTCAGATGCCATAACGACACTAAAGTGCTTGCTCAGTAAATGGAGGGGACAAAGTGATTAATTAATTAACGGAACATGAGCTGGACTCTCTCCCATCTTCAAGATTATGCAGACTCATCAAAACTAAGTTCACTATTAAGCCACAGAGATACCTTAAATCATGAGAATTTTAAAGGCCGAGGAGGGAAAAGGAAAAACGACAAAGAGAGGCTACAATTTTAAAAAAAAAGAGAGAGAGAGAGAGAGAGAGAGAGAGAGAGAGAGAGAATAAAGGCACAGATTAAGTTACTAAGTTTTACCTCTGGAATCCAGAGGGCACAGCTCACATGTGCCCACTTGGTCCCTGTCCTGGTAGCTTTCATGGCACCTCCTCTTTTGGGACACAAGAGACACTGCGGATGTATTCCCAGAACGCACGTGCGACACAGCCAGCTCCCTTCGGGTACTTTTAAGATTCCATAACACGCCTTGGAAAAAAACACGTATTGAAATCATGGCACTGACATAATTTTACACACAAACGTTCGTACCAGTTTTCATATGGCACAAAGCTTTCAAATACTAACATCGCAGGCTGGCACCACAGGTTGGCATTTAATCCTCTTACCTCTTCACATTAAACTAGTCAAAAGGTAAACAGACTACAGAAAGTCTTTTTATGTCTGTTTCTGTTTAAAATTTGTGCACTGGTGTTTGTTTATGTATAAAAACATACCCACTGCGACTAAAAAAAACAACACTGATGTTAAGAACATCAGTCTTTGCATTTACTGACTTTTAAATTTCTGAAGCAAAAAACGTAGACATCCCTTCAAATTAGCTTCTACATGTGATCTGCTTTTTAAATTGCACTTTCTCACCATTAGTAACTTTGCAATCTAACACAATTCTACTTAGAAGTGAAGGGATACGACCTGTTTGACTGAAGACTGTTTCCTGCAACATTACCTTTACGGTTACAGCTCTGAGAAGCGTTTGTTACTTAAAATAGCTACACAATACTGCAACAAGAGTTGCGGCATATACTGAGGTGCTGTTTGTATGCTTATTTCCTCAGCACTGCATTTAACCTCCCCAGTAATTGAGAAATTTAAGTGTTGCTGAATTTGAGAATTAAAAAAATCTGTTTTTTTATTCAAATTCATAGCAGTTCATAACCTAACAGCTAACTACACATGTACACAGATCTGTTCTGCTGCACATACACACGTCTTCAAGCTCACTGTATCTCAAACCATCAGCTGCCAACAAGGTCTAATTCCACACAACTGTTGCAAATGAAAGTTTCATCAGTAAGATGGCTTTCCTAAACTATCTTACCATTCCTTACACTGTATCTGGGAGCAGTAATATTGCAAGCCTCAACAAAATACGATCACTAACTGTAACCACTGTTTTAGATTCAAATACAGTAGAAAGTTTCCTATGCTCATTTTCGCAGCTTTCTGAAATCTCAGTATTTAATAGGAAAAAAAATCATAAAATACTGCACATTTGTGTCACATCCTGTGGAGGGTGGGATTTTCCTGAATTAAATACCATATAATGAAAATTCCAAGATAAAGTAACCAACACACTCTTGTGATATAACGTGTTTTCACCATTATGAAAACCCAGCAGAGGGCGCTGTAATCTAAATTTTACAATTTTTTTTCCTATTATGTAGCATATATAGTCACACCTACATCCTTACTATTAAACTAACACAAAAGTGGCATTATATCTACGTTCTCAGTGCATTTAGAGGCTTGAAAATGGACATAAACCACATTCGAATTTAATCCAGTTAATGAGTCAAGGTGGTCTCTAGACTAAAACAGCAGTTTCACGATTAGTTTCAGCCAGCATGAAAGGAGAAAAAGGGAGTCTCACACTCCTCCTCCCTACCTCCAAAACTTGCATGATGACAGACACACCTGACACTACCTCATGAACCGGAGCTTGCCTAAACTAAAAACCAAATAAAGAAATCTTTTTTGCTTTGCCAGGCTGTTCCCCAGTTTGTTTTGCGACCTGGTCACGTGAAGCACTGGGCAGCATACGCAGAGGGTAACGTGGGACTGGGAACAAGGCAGTAGGACTCGGCACCCCTGCTCCCTGTTTAAACTCATCTCAAGAACAGGTGTATGGTGCCCTAAGGTACAGGGAGTCAAAGAACCCACTTTCCTTCCCGGCTCCCCAAGCCTGGGCCACGAAGACAAGCACTTAGGGGGCCAGGACCTCCAAGTTTGGGAAAAGGCCTGGTGACGGAGCAAGAGCGAGGAGGCAAGGGCCGTCAGCTCAAGCTCAGCTGTCAGTGGGGATCCGCCAGCCTCTGACTGTAAATCCATCACTGTTCTTAAATGGGCATAAGCGCGGGCTGCCCCTGAACCAGGCAGCCCAGCTGCATTCCTGTCACTGGCCTTGTTACCGGCACTCACATTCACGTCGCTGCTTCACGTGGTGAAGCGGAACAGGAAAGTGGCTGGGCTGAAAGTCGGCCTGCGCATGTGAGGAGGGGAAAGCTGCTTTTTCAGCCAGGTAAGTTTTCTGAGTATTACCTGTGCTCGTCACAAAAATAATTTTTAGAAAATCCTCTTAGTCTCTTTTTAATTTATAGTATAACCTCTTCCAAAACAGGATGCATCAGAGACCACAGGATTCATTGTCCCTTTTTTGAGTGTAAGGAGACCCATACCCAACTACACTGAGTTCACGTAGCATGAAGACTAAGCTACATTTTAAATGCTGTAAATGTGAGAAACATTCAGTTTCAGAGCACAGTTGCTGCAGGTGCTTGCACCTTTTAAATAAATATAAGTCTGTTAAAGCGCCTACATGTGGTTTAAGATACCTAAATTTGGACTGACCATATCCGGCCAATTAACTAGTCACTCAAGAAGGAAAATCCCCTGCTCTGAAACAAATGATTCTTAAATTCTTCACCTATCGGCAGGAAGCATTCCCTGTCCCGCTTCTGATCTTCAGAAGCAGATTTTAAAATGGGGAAAAAAATTGCATACGGTCACAGAGAAAGTACATGCAATACCCGAGAACATACCTCACATTCTTTCCTCAGACTACAGTTGTCCATATATTTACTATGTTAGGCCACTAAATCTACTGCAAGTGTCAGAGCATAAAAATTTTACTTAATGTTGCATCATCCTTCACACCTAGAAAACCTCAAAGCCCTCCAAATTAATATATATTACTAGCTGAAACATCACACTTGCCAAAGTAAACTAAGATCACAGAACAGCGTCAACATTTCTGCAGACACTAACCTGATGGACACAGATATTACACTTGTCACAAAACACCATATCATTTCCATCTTCACTGTCAGGGGATCGGCACACATCACAGATGACATCTTCATCATATTCGATACCTAATCCTTCTTCGGTCTCAATAGCATGATTCATATTCTCATGACAGTGCCGTTCCAGCACTTCAATTGTCTTTTCCATTGTGTTTTCATCCAGGGGCCCGCATCCTAAAACAAGGAATAGGGAGAGGAAATGAGAACACAGTCAGGCTCCTCCGACTGAACTTAAGATGCAGGAAAAGAGAAAGGCAATCTCTAGCAACTAAAGCAGTAAATAGCATCTGCCCTCCCATCACTTATAAACTTTTTTCATTCACTGGCTAATTTCAGCATTGTTACACAAACAGACCTACTGCTGGAGTACAAACTTTAGTTGTACATAAGAAAAGATTGCTCCTTAAAAAAGTATTATAACATATGAGTAAGATAGCAGTTTCTGCAACTACTAGCTGCTCTGATACAACTCTCACCCCATCTCATCACTTTAAGAAACACTAATGACATTCAAAATCACACACTTAAACATTCTCTACTTTGAAGAGTAACTCGCTAAGAAATAAAACTTAGAAATTACACTTCACACCTTATAAAGGCACAAAAGTTGCCACCATCCAATCCAGTACGCTAGTTGAGCAATAGCATGATAGTTATGAATTTTTTTTTAATAAAATAGTAAATAAATGTACTGTTGGCAATAAATAAGAAACACGATTAAATCCATATTGCCTGTTCCCTTGAACACTACATAGATGCTATATACACTTACCACTACTTAAGCTTACCATAAGTAGAACTACTTAAAAACGATTTGCTGCGAGACTGGTCCTCAGCTTGCAGCTTCAAGACACTATAGTTAGTGTATTTGAAACCTATAACGTTCACAGCTATAGGAAGTCTCTAAACTCCTCTCGAAAACCTCAGCCCCAAATGATGCTGCCACCCACGGTACACTATTTGCTCAGACCAGTAAAGGTTGCAACATTCATGCAATGTTCATCTCAAAGACTTACATTTTAAGTACAAGACTATACATAAATAATATGGCTACTAATTTTTATTTCTGTTGCAACAGCTAAACAGGGAAGTCGAAAAGATGATAGAAAACGCATTCCGTTATTGAACTGTTCTCTCCAGTTCCAGGGTATTTTTTCAATCCCTGAATTTAAGAAAAATCACAGAATCATTCAGGTGGGAAGTGATCTCAGCAGAGCTCTAATCCAGCTCCCTGCTCAGGGCAGGGTCAGCACTGCATCCAGACTAGGCTGCTCAGAGATTTTGCTCAATCACATCTTGAACAGCTCCACTGGCACAGATCCCCTGCGATTTGGCTTTGCAAATACCATCCCTGTGTGCCCTGGTAAGCCTATTCTTGCTTTTAACTTTTACATATGTCTTTTTGCACTGGAGCTGAATCATGAGTTCCCTGATTCACCAAACTGGTCTGCTGATACATCTATTCGGTCTCCTGAGTATCAGGATAGATCGTTCTTGTGCTTGCAGGAAATTGTCCTTAAGTCCTGCCAGCTCTCGTAACCTGGATGCCTCCCAGACACCACCCAGCAGTTCCCCTGAAAAAGCAGAAATTTGCTCTCGTGAAGTCCAGGCTGCTTGCTTTCCTCGTTCCCCTCAGGATCTCGGCCTCCACTATTTTACAGTTGCTACAGCCAGCGCTGCCATTGCTTCCTGCACTCCAACCAGGTCTTCCTTGTTTGTGAAAAGCAGATCTAGGAGAGGGTCAAATACTCCCCTGCTTTTTCCTGTCTGTCCTTCCTGAAGGATCTGTATCCATCCACAGCAGAACACCAGTCATACATATCTCAGTTATTCCAGTGATAACTCCAAGATGTTTTCCACCATTCACTTCCCCTCATAGCCCTCCATACCCATAACTTGCAAGGAGAAGAAAAAAAAAAGCTCACTTAGCTGATTTTAAACCAGCTACTATGTGCGAAACTGTTAATAACCCAGCATGCAAGCTCCTCAGAATTCTGTATTTGGTAGCAATAATATGTTCAAGTTTAAGAAATGGAAACACCTGTTTTTCCAACACAAATTTTTAACTTTTGAAGCCCAAAAATGAATTCCCACTTGATGTGGATTTTCCTTCCTGCCTTAGTCTACAGAATTTGCACACAATTTCGGATGTGAATAAGTTTTTGGGCGCAACAGGTAAGACATTAACTGATCTAGCACCTCACTATTTTAAACAGCTTTCTGTCACTACCTCATATTTTTCTTAGCGTTTCCATTCAACTCTCATTCAAAGATCCATAAGAGATCTCACACAAAAGACTCCAACTCAAACATCATAAATTACCTGCTGCTTTAAAGACTACAACTTATTGTGAAATTACCCATTTCTGTAAGCTCCTCATTTAGTTCCTGAAGCCAAAAGATGTCCATATCATCCAAGTCATAGCGACACATAGATTCTGCCAATTCCAAGATGTTGATGTAACCAGGTTCCGTGGGCTCTTGGCTGGAACAGTGGATATACTTCCTGGGTCGCGTATACAGTACTTCCTTTACCTTTTCTGCTACCACCCTAGTTTAAAAAATAATAATAAAAAATAAAAATATAAGAGAGAGAGAGCGCGTGCGCGTGTCTGTTAGCTACAGCTCTTTAAGATCTATCCTCAAAAGTTTTTTTTTTAAATCAGGAGCAAAGAAACCTAGTGGTTCACAGATTTTGAACTAAACTGATAAAGAAACCCCTCTCCCCGCTCTGGGTATGCTTAAGTGTCATTTCTTCACACAGAATATGTTAAGATTTGCTATGAACATAAAATAGTTTTTGAAGCATATAGCTTAAATTAACAAATCAGCAAACAGTACTAGCTTGATGATGCAAACATTTCTGAAACCCACAGAAAATAATACACACAAAAAAATTCTACCATCTTTGTTTTCGCCTTCCTAAATGAGAGACAGAAATCTTGCCAACCAATAACTTTGAAGATGCTGGCTTTTTCAAGAAAGTTTGATTTATTCTATTGCAGTGAGGAGGGGAAAGAGATGCTTACTCTTCATTTGGAATAAACAGTCTACCTTTACTTCGCAAGTGACACCATAGGCACACTACAAATGTGTTATTTTTGTTATATAAGAATCATTCTGCTGCTAAGCAAGCACATAAAGGAAAAAACAACAGCTCAAAATCATCTAGGAAGTACGGGAGAAAATCATCCGTGTTTTAGACCTCTCAATTATTTTAAGAGATAAAACACAGTGTGTCATTAGGAAACTGGCCTATGTGAACGGAAAGACTGACCTTCGTTAGACAAAGTCAGTCTTTCTCTGAATCAAACGCAAGAGCCTTGTATGCCAAAGGAAGCCAGGGAGATACTGAATGGAACAGTGCCATGTGTCAACAGCACTGCATGCTTTCTAGAGCTAATCCTCCAGAGTACAGAGAGGAAAGCAAAAGTGTGGAAAACATGGCAAGAGGAATAAGAAGGAATAGGCAGCAGTCACGCAGTATTCCACGCAATTCTCACTGGACAACGTGCCTTGCCATTGTTGGCGCAAGCAACGCTCTTCTGCCACTCTTCCCCCTTCACCTTGTTCATTTTTTTTCCCCTCATCCCCCCGTGAGCTTTGTTTTTTCTCTGCTCCATTCAAATCTATAGCAATTTTTTTTCTCTGATTTCACACGGCTGGTATGAGATGCAACGTATTTAATAACTTAGTACTGACAATAGCCCCACTGGAAATTAAGTTACGCTGGCATCAGCACTTTCACCGGACATTTCATTTATCTTGGTCTTGAAAACCATGTTGGCAATAATACTTTTATGTTGAAACACACTGTGTCTCCACTAGAAAGGGTCGCAGGAGCGTTACGTTTTCTTAGCGTAAGCAGAGTATAAGAGAATGAAAGGTTACTTATCAATCTCCTGAAACTGAGATCACTGAACTTCTGTAATAATAAAAAGCTATTTATGGAGAGAGAAGGCAGCAAGGATTAAAGCGTTTGGAGGGTGGGGAAGAGGGAGAAGGTGTTCCACTATGTTTAAAAAGGGTTAAATATAAAAAAGGGTAACGTAAAAAGAAAAAATATAAATATACAAACCTTAAATTAAACCTAGTCTAACAGGATTATTATGTATGTAAAAGGTAAGAGTTTCAAGAACATCCCAAAACACAGGACCTATGGACTTCACGATCACAAATGATCTTAAGTCATTTAAGGGATTCTTGAAAATTCAGAGATGCTATGCACAGAGTTTAGTGGTTTAAGTTTGATCAAGATGAGCCATTTTGAAAATCCAGAAACTTAACATTCCCTTTCACTGTTTGTCAAAGCACACACTCTATATAGATCTTCACAGCTCAAAAAGAAAAGCCTGATTTTTTTTCCATTATTTTCTTAGGGGATGAAAAGAGCATTTAGAAGATGATTAGAATTTGTTATAAATTACAAAATCAGCAAAGCCTGCATGCGCACAAAGATCTGTCAGTACAGAACCAACTCCTGAGGCAGTGACCTTAAGTCAGGAAAATAAAACAAAACAAAAATGCAAGAGAAATACAGGACACAAAATTCTGAAGTGTATTTAAGACCAACTTCCCTTACAGATCATTCAAGCATAACTTCTTAGTGTTCCACTAAAGGGCACAAACAGGTTCTCAATTTTGGCTAAGAAAGGTTACATTTCCACATAAAAGCAATTTGCACAATACTACAACGTTCTGATTAGCCTTTTTGCAAACTGTACCAGTCATCAGCTATTACAGATTAGTTCCTACTATTCTATATTAGCTCGCTTTATAGCTTTATAATGCTTTATCATGCTTTATAATGCTTTTCAAGTAACACGAAGACATAAGAGTTTTTTTTTCCTATTTATTAAGCTCACAACACTCAAATGAGAAGACTGTTTTTATACACAGCAGCATGTGACTTAGGGCAGAAAAACCCTTTTTTTAAACCTACACTGTAGCCATTGCAATGCTGTACAAAGAGAAGCTGGTCTGGACTGAAGTATCACAGAAATTATTTCCAAATTGGTCCTGGTCTAATTTAAATAAACACACCTGGAGCCTGGAGGCTACTATATTGCAGATTTAATACACCAAGGGAATGCTGACTGCATTTAGACAATCAATTTTTTGGAGAGACCATCTTTTCTGAGCTGATGTTTGGTGCACATGATCTATGTTTAATTGCTTTTACCTGAGAGAAGGTTGTGGAATAGTTTCGGGACTGGCTGGAACCTGAACTCCTTTCTCCCATTCTTGTTTCCATGTGTCCGCAAAGATATAATATTCATCAGGGTTAACATGGTGAGAATCTGGTAATTTCATGGCACTAATGAGATCCTTACGGAACACCTGCAAAGAAAATCCAGGAAGCTTGCTTAAAAAAAAAAAGAGCTGCACCAAATAAGCTGTAGGGCTTCCCCCCCCCCCTAATTTGCACAGAAACAAGGTATATACGTTGATAATTTTTACAAGAGTACTGACACACAAACCCACTAACATGAGATTATCTAGATTATGCAGTATGATAAGATTTTAAGCCAATGCACAACCATGCTGCTGCCCAAAGCAGAAGGAAGGAGGCTGTTTCAGGTGACCAGAAAAGAGGGGAAAGGAGACAGCATCTGATTTAAGTAGCTTTAAGAATCCTCATTACTTCCAAACAGCTGATTTTCCTTGCTAGTGTGTATGCTTTATCCCAATATAAATACAACGTAGCATATCTTCTTCTTTCCCAGAGTTAAGCTACCTTAAATTGTCATATTCATCATGGGCTAAGAACATTTGCAGTGACAGTTGCCATGGAGAAAGCGATGCAGAGGAATTTGTTCATCTCTTAAAACCCTTTGAAGTTTTACTGGTCAGTATCTTTGGGATCAAAGATGAACAACTGCCTCCATTAAAATAAGAATTCTGTTACTTTATTCCTGAATCCCCACGATGCAAACACAGCAGTACAGTCTGGCTTCAAGATTCTTTAGCAAACCTATGAAGACGAAATATGCCATCTTAAAACAATACAAATCAACATACCTCCAGCAATGACGTTCCACTCTCTTTGGCTTAAAAGTGGTTTTTTAAAAGAGCAACCATGATTATCAGTTACAATAAGAAAGCTTCGAGAAAACTATCTGTCAAATACTTCTACGTGCAATTTAAATAAAGGCACTCTTTGGTTTTCTTCACTGCTACGCTGCATCAGTTTGACATTCGTAAAAGCGACTACGGTTTGTGTTATGGAGAGATCAAAACTAATTAACTGATATGTTAAAACTAATTAACTATGATAACAAGAAATCAAAAGGCAATAAAATAGAATATTGCCTCAAAAGGCAATAAAATAGAAGAGGAAATATCCCTGCAATAACATGTGGTAGGTGGAACTCTCCTTCTTACTAATAGTAATAAAACATTTCAGAGGCAAAGATGTTTTTGTACCCTTTTCCATTTGACAGTACCAGATCAAGTATGCCTACTGCAAAAATCCTCGGCTGTTCTTGCAAAACATCAAGTGAACATTCTAGTTAAAAGCACAGTGCCTTTTTCTAATAAACACGTATAGGTATAGGCTGCTGGCAACGTGGAACATGGGCGTTGCTTCAATATGCACTATAACTGCATCTCACATAGGCTGCAGGGAGAGCAAGCTAATCAGGGAACTCAAAAATACAGTCCAAGTAACAAAATCCTAAGGCTTTCTTATTTGCTACCAATGTGCTATTGCTTTGTTTTAGATCAGATTGTTTACAGTAACCTTCCATGTAAAACCCAAGTACCTAGTAAGCCTTATTAAAATCCAAATGACAAGAGTGCAACCGCTAAGATTGTAAACACCACTTTTTTCCAAGCAGTATGCATACACAAAAAAATAAAATGTAAAGTGATTTCTTCCTTTTTAAAAGGCACTTAATTTTCTTGTTATAAATATAAGACCAGGTATAAATACAGGAGAGACACTAACATGGTACAATTCCAAAGAACTCTAGAAGGGAAAAATAACCCAGCAAATCAGAAATGCAATGACTGGTTTAATTAACGGAAAAGATACCCCGCAAATCCTATATGAGATAGCGCTTAGCAGACTGCCTTTTAAGTCACTGACTAAATACAGAAATAGAACGTTTCATATCAAACACACTACTTCTTAATACTAGATGAAAAACGCTACTAAGGGCATCAGTATTCTAACTACATTGCTTAGCAGCAAATTCATCTTCTCATCATCTATTATGTATGCAAACTGTATCGTCTTTATTTTTAGAGCACAAATCCCTTGAAGCATGGGCTATTTTTTGGTCGCTGTACAGTACTGACCACACTATCACCGTGCAGCAATGTTAAGTCCTATGCTTCAGATCCCTGAAACTGACAATAGTGGTATCACTGAGGATCAAAGATTTAACTGATGCAAACATAGCTGATGAAAACTTAAAGAACCCAACATGTGATCAGGATTTCCTAGGAATACACTCTCCTTTCCAATCATACTTAAAACAACAGTGTAATCGAGTATTTCCAGGCACTTGGAATCCTTACATAGACACCAACAATTTATAGCTCTCATCGTTCTTCGTTTCCTCACATGTGGCCAAGCAGGGTCTTCCAGCAGTAAAACACACTCAGAAGACAATGTATGAGAATGTGTGTTTTTACCAAGTACTCTCTACTTATTTTGTTACAGAGGCAAACCAAAACACCCAGGGGAACCTAAGACACTTTTCTTATGAATTAAGTAAATTTTTCTTCAACAGGCAGCCTCAAGGCTATGAATTAAGCCAACTCAACAAAAAAACACACACATCCAGTATTTTGAAAGCTAGCTTTTCCTTGTAGTTGAGCCTTTGTGGATACTTACGCAAACCCTTATATTAACTGAATCCATAAAGCAACAGTTAGTCCAAGCTATAGCACAGCCTGTCCTCTTGAAAACGGTCACCTTCACTTCCTCAGTAGGCCAATAAAATGCAATAGTCATGTTTCAGTCATCCCAGTGAATTACAGATTATGTGGTTCTTGGATCCAGTTTACAGAAAAACTGAGATTTACAAAAGCACAAACAGCACTGCATCCTAAATATCTATATAAGCTGCACATGAAAGTTAACTTGAGGAAGACATTATGATAGATGCATTTGAACTGTAATTATCTCAAGTAAATTTCTCATATAAAGATGTCACAAAGCAAGGACTTAGCAATACCAAACTGTAACACTGGTGCACCACAGGCAACACTCACTGGTAAAACAGTTCTTTCGTGGGCATGTATTTGTTTTCTGAATTTCTGCATGTAACCGTATATTTATCAAGCATAGTGATCTCATGAAATACAATAGTACCTCCATAGATTATCACGAGTTATACTTTTAAAGCATTCTTCAGTGATCAGATGCTTTTCTTAGCTGAACTCTATTCAGCTTCTGCCTTTTCAAGTTTGATCTACGCATGCCTATAGTTACACGGGTGGTTGCTGGATTTATCCCTCAGCAATATCTTTACCATATGTTAAAGGGGCGAAATCTTAAATTCAGAATTCAGTATTTTTCCAGCTGATAGCATTATGCCTAGAGAAAATTTCTAGTGGCGGGGCAGAGGGAAGGAGAAAGAAATCAAGCTGAAACTGAAGACGAGGGAGGCGAGAGTAGAAAGGGGGAACATCTTCACTGCCAGCCTGTTTCCTGAGGCTAACGCTTCTAACCACAAGGATTCAGGGGCAAAAGCAGAAGGTTCCTGCCTTGACAAGTTGTTCTGCTCCCTCTGAAACCTAGAACGTGGCATTACTAACCTCAGAGAAAAAGATGACGTCTAAACACTAAAATGCTGTCCTATCTTGAACATGAAAAGCACCCTGTCATAGTGAGGAAGGGACAAAGATATTAATCAGAGAACTTCCTGGCACGTAAAGCTAAGAGCACATAGGAAGAATGCTATATTTTATAGATGCACCTTTTTGGTTACAGGTGTACAACTAAGTGGTATTTTCAGACTCCCCAAGCCCACTCCAAGAAGCGTTTGTTCTTCTTGCTAAAACAATCAATTCGCCAGAAAACAAAAGCTTGTTGCAGGCAGCCATTTTGACAACTGAACCCTCTATTATCAGAAAATGCTGTCTGAAAGGGAAAAAGTGAACTGTTTTTCTCCACTGAAAAGCTCTAACACCTGCAACAGCAAATTTACTGGTCAGACCGTTCTCCACCGTAGAGCACTTAAAGAGAAATTCTCATCCTTTCTGCTAACCTTTATTTTTTTCTAATTCTTTCCTAAGACATCCCCTTTCTGCAAGTTGCCTGACAAGCACTTTCCATACTCCAGCATCTTACCAGTCGACCTAGCAAGCCTTAAAGAAACCGCCTTCCAGAGGATGACCTTGATCAGAGAGCTATAATGCAAATTAACAAAAAGAAAATGCTGCTGCATACTTTTCCAACCAGTAGTTTACTTACTGATTTTATAACCTCTACATAAAACAAAAGGGATGGTAATATTTCCATCACCAAAGACCGCCTAATGCCAAAGACAGGGGTAAATTCTATACCCTCCTTGAATAAACTCTCTTACTTTACTGAACTATGAAGAGTAATAAACAGCAGCTTATCAGTCACTGCCAAATAGTCATATTTCTCACTATATATAAAACACAAGTCTTCAATTTTATTTTATTATCATCTTGCAGCATACAAACTCAGAAGACTTGAAAAAAATTGCATGCCTAGACTAGACCTAACAGGGCATTCCCACTTCTCTATGAGGAAATATTATTCTTGAAGAAATAGGTGTATGTCTTTAACTTTACATATATTTTTATATGTAATTAACATAAGAAGGGTCTTATAGAAACATGAGATGACTTTTAGTCCTGCTTACCATGCAAAACTCTTTTGACTGAACTTTCAATTTAATTTAGTTACCCGCAATTTTTAAGTTTCAGGTGAAAACAGTTTAGCAGTTTGTCCAAATGAAGTCAATGAAAAACGTGCTTGGTTATGTAACAAGAATCTTATAAGCATTTTGTTCCGAGAAACTAATACTTCATCCGTAAAGCTGGGGCTTGAAGCAGGAAGAGGAACCTCATCTTCCTCACAGGACCCTCCTGTGCTTACTCTGCGAATAAATCAAGATTGTGCAACAACACACACTTTTTTTCCCCCCCCCCTGCAGGATCCCTATCCACTAAAGATGTTGGGAAGGATGCAAGTAGTGATATGGAGCATTATAGTAAAAGATTAGCATCAAAGCAAGAGAGCAGGTTCTTGACTATACAACAGCCTTCATCAGAAAAGGCTATCTTTTCTGAACAATTCAAACACCAGATCTGCACAGATATGGGGGCACCTTCTGTTCATGACCAACGCAAGC